GAACGGTGGGAGAATAATCTTTATTTAGAAGGACAGAAATCATCTCTGCCAGCTTTTCCATTATTAGTAGTTGTCCCAGCTGCTCCAGTGAGAGGATTAGTGACTCATTCCCTAGGAGTTCATTAAAATGGCCACCTGTGCCCAGGTGAGCTCTTATTTAAGCTGATTTTTAAACAAGCAGCAGTAGAACAAGAACACTGAGGTCCCCTGAGTTCAGGCACCCATGGGAGTAGGCAGAGGCACAGAACACTCCTGTTTTTCCAGTAGGTCTAGCCCTGGGAGGAGGCTGGTTGCACCATCCCTGGGGAGGAGGTGAGATGAACCACCTCTCGCAGTGCTGCAGCTGGTGCTGCTGCTGGTATTCCTGCTCCATCTCGGGGTGCAAGTTAGGAGCAAGGGGAAGGCTGCTCTGGGCCTTTATCCCTGCACTCAGAGGTGGAAGTGGAAGAAGGATTCCTTTTCCCACTGCCAACCAAGATGCTTTGCTCAGCTCTGCAGGGACTCCCTGGCAGATGATCCCACCCTGCAGTGAGCTAAGCTTAGGGAAGGGTATCACAAAACTGATGTGGGATGCGAGGTAGAAATGGTGCCAATTCCTCTGGAGCCTGATTTTTAGCTCCCTGTTCAGGATTGCCGCAGCCACGAGGGCTTCCTAGAGCCTTGCTCTGGTGTTCTGCACTGTCAGGAAGTTGCTGATGATCCCAGACACCACCTCGGGCTCATTCAGGTGCACAAAATGACTCCCAGGCACCTCTACAAGCTGGATGTGCTGGAGGGAGAAGACACAAGATGTGGACCAGGAAAGTTTCCTTTGGGCAAGCTGTGCTCGCTGTGTGGCACTGGTGGGATGGTGGGGAGGCAGGACAGGGACAGGAGTTTGAGGAAGAGCTGGGTCCAGGGGGCAGTGACTGACTTGGGACTTCGGAGCAGGAGCATTGGTGGTGGACAGAGAAGAGATGCAAGGAGGGAGTTTGCTCTCACCTCTTTGAGGGTGGACTCAAACGCCTCCCGTAGGGCTTTCACGAAGTGATTTCTGGTGTCCAGCTTGTGCGGTACCAAGAGTCCATCTTGTGCTCTGAAAGGCAACAGCAAGGCTCAGTACAGCACACGGTGTGTGTGTTTGTCTCTGCTGCTGTCCTGGGCAGAGGCAGTGTCCCTGGGATAGTGGGGGACAGACCCAACTGCCCTTCCCAGACTGCTCACGAACAGCAAGGTCACAGGGTCGCACACAGGAGCCATATGAGCACGGCACAGAGTGGCTAAGCAGCTACTTTTCATCAAACTGTTTAAAGCCTTGGGTGATTGCCTGGGAGTATCAGAGTGGGGACTGGTTACATATTGCTCCCCCAGGGTCCTCCTGGAGAAGCCAGCATTGGACCTTCTGCAGAGTTAAGATCACAGTGTCTTCTACTGTGCTGCAGGTGATGGGACAAGGTGACATCCCAGGCTCAAAGGGATGTGCTCTGTATGGCCTGAAGGACTTGCCCTCCCCGTGATGACCAGGGAAGCCAAAACTGCACCTCATTTCTCAACTTCTAGCAATTCCTCTCGTTTCCTAGAGAGTCTTTTAACAGCACCACACAGGTCAAGGTAGCCAGAGCCCTGCACATCTTGCCCTGCAAGGAAGTGACTGACAAACCAGCCACCCACCTGGACAGCTGATGGCTTGTGAGGCTCTAAGCGAGCCACTGGCCAACTCCCCACAGCTTCTCCCTGCCCTGGACACCACAGGTGAGAGCTTGCAGGAACTGGGTCAGGTTGGGGCTCCAGGACCAGCTGGAGGAGGTGGAGGCTGCTGTGGTTTCACCTGTTTGCTCAGGCAAGAGGTTCTGGGGTCTGCAGAAGTGGGTAGGCTGGGTTGCTGTGTTTTGGGGACAAGCCAGACCAGGAGGAAAGCAAATAGGAGCAGTGCTGGGGAGGTCCCCATGTCTGCCAAGATGGGCCCCTGCTATAGGGCCAAGGGATGGGACGCTGTAGGATGGGAACACTAAAGCGTGAATGTGGTGAGGACAGGGCATTTCCTCGGGGGGGCCCAGCCTGAAAATACAGCATCAGGCTGGGAGGAGGATGTGCCAGCTGCTCTCTGCCTGCTCCAGGAGCCTGCTCCAGGGCAGTGGTGGGGAACCGGGAAACGCTTCTCACTGCCCGAAGGCCTGGGCAGCCGCTGCAGAGGAGGGAGGTAGCAGAGGACTCCTTTCTAACCTTCATCCCCTCCACCCAGGCCTGCAGGGAGGGGTGGTTTGGCTTGTGCCTCACTCACACAATGATGAGAACGCGGTCCTGAATTTTCTGCAGGAGCTTCACGCACTGCTCCACCGTGAAGTACTCTCGACTCTGCTGCAGGTGCAAAGACAGAGAGCAGCAAAGGTCAGGGACAGAAGCTGGGGACAGAGGGTGTCCCGACCCTGCTGCACTCGCGGCTCTGAAGGCAGAAGGGGCTGTGGCCCCAAAGCTGCCGTGCTGGGCCATGACAGGCAGCCAGGCTGCGCACAAGAGTAGCTGGCTCTGTAAAGGCTCCTTCTGTCCAGCTGCGTTTCAGCGCTGCCAACAACGCTGCCTGCTGGGATGCAGCGCATATGGGAATGATCTCATAGCAGAGAAAAGCTATCAAAATCCTTTTACTAACAAAAGGAGACAGTACAACTGCTCTGGCTTTCATGGCCTGGCAGTAGCACAGGTAGACGAGGCCCTACTTGCTCAAAAGTGGCACAGAGCTATCAGAATATCAAACACAAGAACTTTGCTCCACTGTCTCCCCTGCTTATGTCAGGGGTGACCTGACAAAGGAGCTGACCGAAAGCATCCATCCATCTGCTGCCTGAAGCATTGTAACAGCAGGGAAATGTGGCCAGGAGGCCCTGGGGCAGAGGAACTGCTAAAAAATCAGTAACATTTTCCAGTGACTCTGTGAGCTGAGTCAGTTAATGAAGGAGTGCGGGCTCTTCTAACAGCAGCATTTAAAAGAGGTGTGGGAATTAGGGAAGCAGAAAGTGGATGGCTGGGTGGAGGCAGGGCCTGGGCCTCCGCTATCTCCGAGTTTTCTGTAAGTTCAGGGCTCAGAAGCAGCAGAGGGCACATTAGAAGAGCAATGCTCACCGTACGGACTCGCATGTCTCTGTTATACACCAGCCCTGGAATAAAAAACAAACAAACAAGAGAAGGTTTTCATGTCTCACAAGAGCAAGAGTTGCTCTCCTTCTCCTCAGCTGTGGGGTCTACCCAAGACTGTTTCAGACAAGATGAATGGGATTAATCCAGATTTCTCCTTTTTTTTCATTTCTTTCCTTTAGCCGTTCTGGGACTTGAGCACCAAGCCCAGTTGCTGGGAACGGCAAGCTCTGCCTCCAGACCTAATTGATCCCATTCAGGCTGCGTACACATGTGGCTAGGGCACCCTGTCCCCTGCAGAAGACAATGGCTGGTGGCACCACTCCCGCCCCGCACCCAGCGCTGGCCCAGCGCTGCCATGAGCCCCGTCTCCATGCAGTCCCTTACCAGCGGGTGTCTCAGTTGCTCCTCGCTGCAGCAGGATTGCCCCACCCTCTGCTGTCAGATGCCTGTTTGCTTCTAAGAGCCTGAGGGAGACATGGCAGAGAGATTGTTCTGCTGGAAAAGGGAGGAAGCCAAGCGAAAATGGCATAAGGTGACAGCGAGCTCTCGGGCTGCTTCAGAAAAGAGCAGGAAGAAGCAGCGGCTTCTGGCAGCAGAAGGCAAAGGTCTTGCTGAGATTCCAGAGCAGGACTTGAAAGTGCAGGGACAGTTTCCCTTTCTCATTCCCGCAGCCATAGCTCTGTCCTAAGCGAGGGCAGGCAGCGAGTGAAGAGTAGAGATGGGAACCCACCTCTGCAATGCTGCTTTGGGGCTCCGTGCTTTGGGAGTTTGCTGCTTTGCCTCTAGACTCAGTAACCTGTCAATCACCACCCGTTTAGATTTCAGCCACGCCTCAGTGTCCTGAAACAAAGAGAGGTAGGGAACAGGAGTAACCCCTCTCTTCTGGATCATTTTACCCCTTATTGGAGGGTAAAGAGGGCATTTGACTCTTCAGCATCCCTCAGAACAGGTAGCAGTTATGGACTTCACATTAAAAATGCCCATTTCTGGGGAAAAGAGAACAGCAATACTTAAAAGGCAAGGTAGGAACAGAAAGCTCAGCACTGCTGTAACTTTTTATCTTTTTACCCTTGCAATCTTTTCTACCCCTTCCTACCTGACTTGTGAGCTGAGGACAAGTCAGAACAAGGGGAATCTGGTATCTTTTGTCTCTCTGACCCTGGGCCTCTGTCCCACTTCTGCCAACCAAAGCCCCAGCAGCTGGTGGCGACGATGGCAGGTTGGGAATAGCTTTATGTTCTGCCAGGAACAGAAAAAGAAATCCACCAATCTCGCACCCAGACCACCCAACAAGCTGCTGGCAAAAAGCCTTGGCTGGCAGCTGCCTGGGCAGAGGTTCCAGTCCCCTTTGTACAAGGGCACAACACAGACAAGAGAATTTTGGTGCTAAAGGACTGCAGGATGCGTAGCACTACCAAGTGTCCCCCAGGGACCACCCTAAGCAGGCACCTCAGTCCACGCAACAAGGAGCGGGCCTGTGTGTGCCAAAAGGAAGAGCCCTGAGACTTGTGTGGCCTGCCAGGAACCAGTCACATCAGTGCTTTCTGTGAACAAATGAGCATCTAATTTTTAAAAAGTGAGGGGAAGGACATGCGAAATCTGACCTCTGGAGCTAGCAGAAATCCAAGATTTTCCAGCAGGATCAGCTTATCTACCATCTCAGGATACAGGAAACAGAACTGAGGAGAGATGAAACAATATGTGAGAGAAAAGCTGAGCGTTGAGTGAGGTCTTCATCCTGCTGCACTGGAGAGGGGGCCAGGGACAGGCCTCTCCCCTCCGATAGCCAAATCCCGCACACTCTGTCCCTTTGTTCCTCTTCCATTTGTTGTTTCAGCTTCAGAAATCAGAAACCCCATGAAGAAAGGATGCTTTACTCACCATTCCTGCCACAGCCCCACCTGCAAAGGACAGAAGGGTACTCAGTTATGCACAGGACACCCCCAGGAACAGAAACACAGCAGGAGCTGCCTTCAAAGCAGAAAAGCACATTGTAGCAAAGGACAAAGCCCCAGCAACAGAGTAGAGCTCTCCCAGCAGGATGCAAGCAGAGAGCAGGGCTACTGGGCAGCTGGACTCCCTGTCCTGGGACCATCCCCATCTCCCTCTCAAGCAGCAAAGGCCAAGGAGAAGCTACTAGTTAAAAAGCTGTGCAGGTCCTGTGAGCGGTGGGCAGAGCAGCCCTGGGGAGCAAAACCCGAATTGTAGCAAAACCCAATCATGTCCCAAGCACAGAGGGATAGAGCCTGGAGTCTGCTTCCCCTCAGCAGACTCCACAACCCACCAAGAAGGGCCCTGCTGTCCCCAGGCTTTGTGGCCTTGTAGGGACCAGGCAGGAAGGCCTGGTGCGAATTCTCCTGTCACAGACCACCCCTCTTTGCCCATCACTGTTCCCTCCTGGGGTGGGAGAAAGGCCCACAGCAAGAGTTACCGCTGTTTATACAACAGGGTCTTGAGAACAGAGGCATTGCAAACAAGGGCACAGATTTGTGAATCACTTAAGCAGGAACCTGGTACTTGACACAATATAATAAATATTCCAACCCAGCTCCTAGCAGCATGTCTTGTAAGTTAATTATCTACTCCTATTTCCATGAATCTCGCAGCTTACAAGGACAAGAGCCACTTACCCATACTGTGACCCATCAGGGTGAACCGTCTCCACTGCAAGGCTAAGTGGCAACAGACAAAAACAGACAGCGCTGCATTAGAAACCAGAGCAGTCACACTTTGCTGCTTCTCCACCAACACGGGCCCCTTCTCCTGAGAGGGCTTTTGCGCTGCTTAATTTGCTTCCTACTCCAGAAACAAGGTGGCTAAGTAGGCCAGTTTTAAAGAAAAAGACCGTCCACCACCTCATTTCCTTGGTAGTTAAGTCACGCAGCTCTGAAGCTCTCTCTGTACAGCAAATGAACTACAGCAAATTCCCTTTCACTGCCAGGCACGAGACTGGCAAGCAGCAAAGGAGCCCGACTGGGCAGCATCTGCTGGAAGAGAGACCCTGACAGAGCATCCTGCTGCAGGGCACTCCACAAGCACCGTGAAGACACAGAGCCAGGGCTGCTGCCTTGAGGAAAGAATGATTATTCCAAGTGAAAGCACCATTTAGCACATCAGGCTCTTCAGACCATTTTTAGGGCACTCTGAGAGGTTTATGGGAAAAATACTGCTTCATCAGTGCTGCCCATCTGGAATGTATCTCGCTGGAAGATGTGTTTTGCCCCCTGGCACTTCAAAGAGGCTCCTTGTATACTGAATGAGGGATGCAAAACCCGCGTGCCACAGCCTCCCCCAAGATCAGCATACAGATGGGCTGCTGGATCAAAAAGTCAGCCTGGCAAAACTATTTAGTTGCATCCATGACTTCTCCCCTACTGTTTTTTGGTATAGAAACACTTGCTCCCAGAGCTTACTGTTTCTTCCTCTCGCAAAATAGTGAGAAGGAGGGACGCTTATTCAGCCTGTGGTCACAAAGCACCAGCTAACATCAGTCTGAGGAGAAGCAGAGAGAACTGACCCCTCTCTTGGCAGTAAATGCTGCCTGCTTGTTCCGAGGAGAAGGAGCAATATAGCACCCCCTGTGCAAACATCCCCTCAAGGCTCCCTTCAACTACCCACCTGCTGCCACCCGGCGCACGTCGCTCACGTAATCCAGAAAATGGTAGGGGGAGCCCGCAGGTCGGTGGGATGACAAGCCATGGCCAGAAAAATCCATTGCCACATAATAGCAATCTGAAAGGGAGAAAGTATCAGATGTGCAGCCCTGCAACACAACAAGAATCATCCTGAGGAGCCAGACCTACCTCTGGGGAGCAGTGGAATGAGCGTGTCAAAGGTGTTGGCGTTGTCCAGCCAGCCGTGCAAGCACAGCACGGGGTGTCCTTCCGAGGGTCCCCAGGCCTTGGCTGCCACGTGGCCCCAGGGCACTGGGAACTTCAACTCTAAGAACATGCCCAAAATAGAGTGCTCGCAAGTGATGTCCCTGGAGAGCCACGTGCTCAGAGTAGGTCCCAGGGATCTCGGTAATGGCCCAGAGCTCTGAAAAAGAATAATACAGGTCTTTAGTAACTCACCAGCCTCCTGTGGTCTTAATTAGCAGCTTGCTGATTTGTAGCTCCCCATTCAACATCCCAAGCTGCCATTCCTGCCTGACTGTTTGGGGAATCCTCCTCCCAGCACGTACTAGCGATGCTCCTAGGAAGAAACAAGCTTTCCCTGCACAGGAGGAGAAAGCCTCCTCTCTGTGTCTCTGCAGCAGCTGCAACCCAAACAGAAGGCGCAGATCTGGAAAGAGGGAACCACACAGAATCCCCCCAGCTAGCTGCAGTCAGCCAGGCACCTGTTCTAAACCAAAACCACAATTTGAGGAATAAGGGTGCTGCCTTCAGTGCTAGACAGTTACCACCTTTTCCTCTTTTACCTTGGTGCTTCTCCTCTTTCACACCACCAGTCGGCACCTTTGAGAGAGCAGCTGGCTACACGCCACACCGCAGGTCACTGCTGCCACCCTCCCATACACTCCTCAGGGCCAGGGACCCTGCATGGGACCTCCAGGTCCACAACCTCAAACCTGCCTCATCACTGCCCATCTGCCTGGCAATCACTGGGCTACACCTGACCTTCACTCAACTCCAGGCTCCTGAGTGAACCCCCCCAGTACTACCCAGCCTCTGGGGATCTTTCAGGGGTGCTCTGAATACCCACCCTTTACCCCCAAGCCCTTCTGGCTCCTGGGGCAGCTCACAGGGAGCCTGACCCTCCAGCCCCAAGTCTCCCATGCCATATCCCCAGTGACTTCTGACAGTGACTTGTCCAGGTCTGTACTCCCTTAAACAGCACACTGACACCCCACAGCTATTCATTTTTTCTATGGCAAGACCCTCCTGAGCTCTCCCCCACGTAAGAGGGCAGGCTGAGAGGGAAGGCTGCTGTCAGGGCCTTGATAGCACTCACAGGCCCTCATGGTCCTGATCAGCTGCACCTAGGGCCTGACACCTTTCCC